ACAGGTGTTGTGAATATTAACTGCTCAGCAACACTATGGATATAAGTTCATCACATTATCTTAGGAAAGATGGGTTGTAATTGGTGAGGCATATATGATGCCCGACGAGCATACATCTGTCCATGTGATGTTGTGGTGAGTTATATCTTTTTCATGTTGTCGGTTTAGGTCCATTTTATTCCACTTATTGTGTTGGGTAGAAGTTTTCCAAAAGAAACTTCTTGTCTGTTTGAGGGTAAGTATCTTAATCGTTAATGTCTTATCTAAAATTATAAATGTAGGCAAAAAACAACAGGTGTAGTATTTAAGCTTATACAATAAATGGACCTACAATTTCGGAGGCTGTCAGATAGGAACTAGAACTGCTATCGTTTGCAAACTCTTGTAGTCTGTGGTTAAGCACTTTTTTGTAGGAGGCCAATGTACCTGCTTGACGCCTTTCCATTGGTAGTTTATTCCATATTTGTGTATACCTCATCAAGTAAATCTTTTGCCTGGTGGCTGTTTTACATTGTTCGATAGCCACTGTACCCTTAGTGTGTCTTAGTTTGTAGCCATTGTCATCTGAAACTCGAATGCCATTAGTAGAGGTAAAAACTAAGTGGTTTACAGGCTTGTAGTAAAGTGTTAAGCTTAGTCTCAGACATCTTAGCCATAGTGTTTCTAGTCCTAGAGTATCACATCTAGTGGAGTAGTTCGCACCATTTTCGGTTCCGAGTAATTTTGACATAGAATACCTCTGCACTCCCTTAACTTTCAATTTGCCCTCTATGCGTATACTACTATACATGAATGAACAGTAATCGAATAAAGGACGCACACAAACCTTGTACAGCAGAATTCTGGACTCATTTCTGTAGAAGTTCCTGAGTGGAAAGCCGATAAGTCTGCGTGACCTTGACACTTGTTTGGAGATATGTTCAGAAAATGATAAGTCATGTGAGTATTTCAGTCCTAGGTCCAATACAGATTCCAGTCGTAAGAGTGTATGGCCTTGAATTGTCAGTGTCAATGTAGTTGAAGATTGAACGATCAATTCATGGTTGTTTGCTCAAAATAAAACTGCCTCAATTTTCGCGGAGGCATCAATACGACAGTCATCGTCTCATCGGTCGCTGTTCAGAAAGAAGTCAGAAGACAACTGTCAGAAGTAATATTGTGATTTATTATTGTAATATTTGTTCACAGACCTTAGTCATACGTCATTTATATGTTGGTGTAACAATAAAGAATCCTCGAGTCAACAATTGGTGTTTTGGTTTTTTCGTCCGTTATTACAAAGTGTTTCTGAGAAAATTCAAGCGACAGTGTGAGCCCGAGCGTAGCAAGAGCTGGGCATTGACGGTTTACGAGACGTGGCTGACAGATTTGTTACTTTGAAATCAGTGATATGTTTATCTCATTTGATCTGCAATATTATTGTTGGGAGTAAAATACATAAGCTTTAGACGCAATAATTATTGGATTTCTACTGCTTGTGGGTATTTTCTTCGCGTGGGGAAGGTCTATGAACGTCAGCTGTTCCGACAGGTGTTGTGAATATTAACTGCTCAGCAACACTATGGATATAAGTTCATCACATTATCTTAGGAAAGATGGGTTGTAATTGGTGAGGCATATATGATGCCCGACGAGCATACATCTGTCCATGTGATGTTGTGGTGAGTTATATCTTTTTCATGTTGTCGGTTTAGGTCCATTTTATTCCACTTATTGTGTTGGGTAGAAGTTTTCCAAAAGAAACTTCTTGTCTGTTTGAGGGTAAGTATCTTAATCGTTAATGTCTTATCTAAAATTATAAATGTAGGCAAAAAACAACAGGTGTAGTATTTAAGCTTATACAATAAATGGACCTACAATTTCGGAGGCTGTCAGATAGGAACTAGAACTGCTATCGTTTGCAAACTCTTGTAGTCTGTGGTTAAGCACTTTTTTGTAGGAGGCCAATGTACCTGCTTGACGCCTTTCCATTGGTAGTTTATTCCATATTTGTGTATACCTCATCAAGTAAATCTTTTGCCTGGTGGCTGTTTTACATTGTTCGATAGCCACTGTACCCTTAGTGTGTCTTAGTTTGTAGCCATTGTCATCTGAAACTCGAATGCCATTAGTAGAGGTAAAAACTAAGTGGTTTACAGGCTTGTAGTAAAGTGTTAAGCTTAGTCTCAGACATCTTAGCCATAGTGTTTCTAGTCCTAGAGTATCACATCTAGTGGAGTAGTTCGCACCATTTTCGGTTCCGAGTAATTTTGACATAGAATACCTCTGCACTCCCTTAACTTTCAATTTGCCCTCTATGCGTATACTACTATACATGAATGAACAGTAATCGAATAAAGGACGCACACAAACCTTGTACAGCAGAATTCTGGACTCATTTCTGTAGAAGTTCCTGAGTGGAAAGCCGATAAGTCTGCGTGACCTTGACACTTGTTTGGAGATATGTTCAGAAAATGATAAGTCATGTGAGTATTTCAGTCCTAGGTCCAATACAGATTCCAGTCGTAAGAGTGTATGGCCTTGAATTGTCAGTGTCAATGTAGTTGAAGATTGAACGATCAATTCATGGTTGTTTGCTCAAAATAAAACTGCCTCAATTTTCGCGGAGGCATCAATACGACAGTCATCGTCTCATCGGTCGCTGTTCAGAAAGAAGTCAGAAGACAACTGTCAGAAGTAATATTGTGATTTATTATTGTAATATTTGTTCACAGACCTTAGTCATACGTCATTTATATGTTGGTGTAACAATAAAGAATCCTCGAGTCAACAATTGGTGTTTTGGTTTTTTCGTCCGTTATTACAAAGTGTTTCTGAGAAAATTCAAGCGACAGTGTGAGCCCGAGAGTGGCAATTTCTGGGCATTAACCACCTATTTCCGTCGTGTAGTCTGTTGCATATTCTCATATCTGGGAGTGCTGTGCAGCTTTTAATCTTTCAACTTCTACTGATTCCTACACCTTACACAACTATTTGTAGTTGCATCCACTTGCATTGACACTTCACGCAGAAGTTAGTAGGTAAGCACCACCCACATCCTACCCACCTCAAACATAATTTTCTCCACTGGATTATTCCATTTACTTACTCTCCGTTTATCTCCTATAAGTCGATCATCTTGTGGTTTCAAAGGACAGTGAACGCCAAACACCTGAAGACCTAGCAAGTGTCAACACACCTCCAAGTTTGTTAATATTTAATCAGAACGTCAACAAGACTGTAGTTGTCCACATCTCTGTTAAACAGATCTGTGTCGTCTGGGTGATTGACGACTCGTTTAAGTATGACTACAAACAGATTTCTTAAAAACAGAAACCAGTGCAGAGAACAGAAGTATGATCAACACTTCAAATAATACAATTGTACGAGAGCGAGGAAAACCAGACATCTGTTTGCATTCTCCCAACTTCAAGGTATACACACATTGGAGTCATCGTGAACAATATTAACCCACACCACAGAATCTCTGTTGTCTAACTCATAGCAACTTCAACGTCCCAACCATGTAGTCCACACATCCTTCTTCACTCAGACTAACAGTGAATGACTGGATGGATGCACTGGTGCAATATATCGGCTTCACCATACACGCAACTCTGCAGCAAACTAGTCTTCTTCCGCACACATCACTCATCGAGGAATGCAGTTGCTCAGTGGATGTAACACAAGTGCAGGAAGACATTACAGGTAGTTGACCTGACTTCCTCAACTTACTTGACTCATCGAATGGCTCAAAATCTTCTTTAGAAACGCAAATGTATTCACTCTTTATAAACTACTAGAACCATCAAACTCCTTATACTTTACGTGCTCATTTGGTCTCCCTTACATTTATCTCCATCATACTTTCTTTATATCTTCACTCTTTATCAGCCATTAAATGAGGCAACTCCAACTTCACAAACCTCTCTGCAAAATTGTTGGTTGAAAGCTCAGTCAGTCAGCCAAGTCTTGTTGTTACTTAGTATATCGCTGTCTCTCACGTGGACATTTACGGAAACACATACAAGCATAAACACCTCTCTTTTAGCATCACAGCGAACATATGCACAGCTAACACTAGTTTCATGGGTAGCCGGATATCACACGTGTGTTGGAGATAAGACAACTTCATTAATACACATTCGTCTGTACACATCAGTCATGCGAAGATTGGTTAGTACACACCATACACCTCCACATCCCTAGAAACTATTGATAACTATTCTGATACCGACTAACGACAGGCTTTATATAGAAAGATACCTGGAATCCTGGTGCAAAGTCACCAGCGTCCTAGCTGAAGGGAAGAAACTTCTCTGTCGTTTGCATGTGCTAGCATTATCGAGCTAAAAGTCATCTCTGATACTTGGGCCTCGGGTAGGCTAAACTTGCATACTTTTATTCTTGGTCACTGAGCTGAACTAAATTTCAACCATTTCAGTGACTCGAATTTTCTTAACGCATTGTCCGCACTTACAAGAGATTTCCAGTACGCCAACGTTACTGTGAAAACAGTACGAACACACAAATATACTGAAATTAACACGCCATGACTCTGTGAATTAAAATGAAGGCAATGTACCAAAAACAAATGCAGGAAGATCAAATTCGGACTTCATATCTCTTACGTGTGAGTACTACACACAACACAGGAAACGTAGTCAGAATCCCAACAAATGCAAGCTTATAGCAATAGAGACTGTAGTTATATATATATATATATATATATATATAGTAGTCACCGAAACGGACAGTTGATCAAGCGAAGGAATGAAGCTAATTAGAGAAGCTTCGTAACTCAGTCGATAGATTTCTTCCAAGATAACCAACCTTTTACCGTTTCTGAGGTCTACCATAGTTGCGAAAAGTGGATGGCAGAGCTGACCACAAAGAAACTCACTAAAGATGAGAAAGAATTGTTCAGTATGTTTGATAAAAAGTAAAAACTGATTTGATTGAAAACAGATTGCAAAAGAATACTAGGTTGACTACTTTGAGTTTTGGCGCATATTGGATATTGGATATCAGAAGGTCATATAGTTACGTGTATCTACGGCCTTGGTGACAGATAGAAATTCATTTGCTATTTTCGGTTTGCTGTATCTGAAGATCGTCGTCAAAATTAATCCCAGAGGTATTGGCTGCACATGTTTCCTGAAAAACTGTTGTGTCTCTAGAGGGTTTTGGTAAATGTAGGTTAATGAGCTGCTACTAGAAAACTGAGAAATAATCCTACCTATTCGGCAAAGTTCAACAATGGTGTCTAACGGGATGTTAACGCACGACTGTCCTTGAGTCAGTCGTAAAAGTGAGGAATTTCTGTATGAAAAATGACTCTTATTTAGAAGAAAATGCATGAAAACACATTGAACAGGGCGTCTTTCTCTGACATGAATTAAAAATATGTCTCAGTTACAACGAGGAGTATGAGTTGCTAAGTTAGATTACTTTCTGTACATGTGTTCACCAAGGCGACCGAAGATAAGCTGTTTTTGTGAATCTTTCATCTCTCTTAGCCTGTTGTACAGTCTACCGCAAAAGCCTTCGGTTGTATTATTATAGTTTGCAGTAAGAGGACCAACAACTGCTTACTGAAAAATGTGGGTGATAAAATAAATTAGAATAAATAACACCAATTCTAGATCTATCCATAATCGTAAGCCTAGCCATAACCTTAATCATAACCCTAACGAGCTGTTAACACATTGTCCAAACAGTACTTAAAAGTGTGACCTCGTTGAAATTTACTCCCTAGTTGGTTAAAAGCATTGATATTTCAGCCAGGATAATGACAGGTGCCTTTAGGCAGTGACTAACATGCGTTCAAAGTCCTAAGAGCGTTTCGCACTCCAGGGACGCTGTTGTTGAACAACGACCTATTCCTGGTCTTAATTAAGTACTCCCAATTGTCTTTATTTCCTCCAATATCCTGAGTAATTTTGAGATAATGCGTAGTTTGGTGGGGAATACAAAATAAAGCCATTAGACTTAAATGTCACCTGAAAGTGCCGCAGTTCAGGTTCCTTCCACAGTTTATATACAGACTACGTAGTCAGTTGAAATCCCCCAGCATTTATTTCTGTTGAAACAATACTTTAGCACTAGAAATTTAACTTGTACCACCAGCCTGCACTCACATTTGTCTTGACTCAAACTGGTGGTACTAAGTGTCTCTTATCAACTCTAAAATTTGGGTGTTATTGCCCGTTGCGATTGAACCCAAAGTAAACACTAAGACTTTCAATTTATTATTCTTACAGTACGAAGACCGTGATCAACGCTTAATGTGTATAACATCACCGAGAAATCCAGGATGGATTAGGTGCATGGGATAAAATTTGAACCTGAGGCCAATTGTCTCAAATTTGAGTGTTGAAGCCGTTGAAGACTGGACAACCCTCTTTTCTAGGAATCGGGAAACAAATTGTTGGGTTTCAGTATCCAATAGCGTTTTCACGAACTAGTATAAACCAGTTTGATTTCTTTGTGCTCACCTCTTGATTAACTTCTGTGGAGCTTGTCCTGCCACTCGGCTGTCGTAGCTTTTGTTAACTCTAAAAGGAGTAGTGCTGAGATTAGTTATATGTGGTTCGTAGTATGAGGTGTGTTAAGTCCGTTACTAATGTGAATGGAGTTAATCCTTCCACTGGTTAGTCGACCGGTATCGTTGTCAAAAGAAAGATAATAATAACGATAGATATAATTAGTGAAGTTATTCAGACTAACAGACACTAAAAGAAATGAAGAAAACGTAACAGCAGTCAGCTGATTAAATTTGAAGAAGATATACATATCGGTAACAATGATGATAATAATAATAAGTGTAGTTAAAGTTTTCAGGAGAGTAAGACGGGAGAGAATGTAAAAAAGTAAAACGACGAACTTTGTTGTCTACCCCTGAATGGTGTATGTGATTTTAGGGGGGTGGGCCATTTGAACTCAGTCCTTGTGTCACTGCATGATTGTCCAGCCTTCGCTTAAATGTGCCCACAGACGGTGCCATAGCTACATCTGCCAGGAAGGAATTCCAGGGACGGCAAACCTGCAGTGAAAAGAAGTGGCCTTTGCCCTCCGGGGAGCTATCTTCCTGGGATTTCCACGAGAAAGCCTATACCTACTCAATGACATAACACCTCTGTTTGGTTGATTCTGGTCATTTGTTATTTTGTAGGCAGCAATCAGATCCCCTCCAAGACGACGGTAGCTAAGTGTGAATAGGCCTAATTTCTTCAACCTTTCATCTTATGTTTTGTTTTGGAGACCAACCACTCCTTTTGTTGCCCATCTTTGGATTCTTTCCAAGAGGTTGGTGTCTCTTCTAAGCAGCGGGGGTGCAATGATATTATGCACTTCAAGGTGTGGTCTGACGTATGTTTTGTACAATTTTAGAAAGAGCTCAGGAGTGAGTGCACCTAACTGTCTATGTGTGAAGTGTATGACCGCATATGCCCTCACTACATCCTGTGTCCATTTTTTTCGTTAGAACTAGTCGCACTCCGACGTTGTGTAAGACAAGCTTCCGTTGCAACTTGCATTCTGCGGTCTACAGGTGCGTAACTTCACTACTTGCACTATTTCAGGTTGAAAGTCATGCCACTGTCCACCGCCCAGTCTTTCAGAAGCTTAAGATCTTCCTGCAACCTATCTGAGTCCTCTGGACTCTTTATCACCCTCCATACCTGTACATCGTCAGCGTATAGAAGAGTCGGGTAGCTTAGACGGCCTGGGAAATCATTGATTAAAATCAAAAACATCAACGGTCCTAGGATAGAACCATGCGACACTCTTGATGACGGGCTGTGCCAAGAAAATCGGACTCGATCGAACTTAGGGCAAAATTGTCTTTCAGCTAGGTAGTCCTTTAACCATGACAGGAGTTTCTTACCTATACCTGCTTGGCTTATTTTGTTTAGGAGGTCATGGTGAACTGTGTTAAGTGCCTTCTCAAAGTCTAGGAAGACCACATGAACTGGAATATTCATATCCCAGCATGATGTCCAATCGCCCCAAGCTAAAAGTAGGTTTGTTACATAGGATCTGCCTTTCCTGAAACCGTGTTGGGTTTCATGGAGCATATTAGACCTACCGAGGTGATTCCTGATGTGATCGTCAATATTACTTACCGGTATTTTGATACCACTGGGAGTAGATCTACTGGTCTATAGCTAATGACATTTTGTTTATCCCCACCCTTGAAGATGGGAGAAAGGATGATTTTTTTCCAGTCTCTTGGCTGTTTCTTCGAATCTATTCAGTGTTGGAACAAGTCGCATGAGAGCCTTCAGAGAGCTTTGGCGCACTGTTTTAGAGCAGTTGACCTGATGTTGTCACAATCTGGGGACTTTCCAGGTGCGAGTCTCTGTAGCTTCCCCAGTGCTATTGCTGGGTTTATTTGGGGAGTAGCCCTTATGTCTCCCTCCTGTGAAATAGTAGTGCCACCGTTTTGGTCCGTTACTTTAATAACCACATTGCTGTTTAACTGTTTGGTGAAGGCTAAACTGAAATTTTCTGCCATCTCCAGACTAGTGAGATATTGACCGTTTGGGCCTACTAAGGCGCATGCCCTCTTGTTGGTTGATTTTATTTCCGACATGAATCGACAAAAGTTTTTGGGGTTTGCTGGGTGTTTTTTGGCAATATTAGACTGGAATGACTTCCTGTCACTCCTGACTCTCGCGTTGTACCTGTTCCTGAGTTCCAGGTATGCGCCGTGGTCGATCTGACTCCTAGATACGCGCCACGTAAACCAAGCCCTCCGTTTCTCTTGCAGAATAAGTTCCATGCCTCTCTTTTGGGCTGTGTTGTGACTAAAGTGACGGTGTCCGAGATTACTGTATGAATAATCTTTTTTACCACTTCCCAGTGTTCATCCATAGATAGCTCATCATATGCTAAGGGCCAGTTTGCATCGGATAAAAGCCTTCGCATATCAGCACAGTCAGCGTCGCTATAACACAGACGTGTTCGCGTAACGTCCCACTGCAAGTACTCACGGAGAACAAGATCGAAACCTATAACTGCATGGTCGCTCACTAGGAGTCATGATCTGCACATTTTCGACGAGTAGTTTGTCGCTAGTTAGAATGTAGTCTAGTTTCGATGACTTTCTACTAGGGCCCCACCTAGCGTCGTCTCCAACACTCCCAGTCAGTCCTGTATTTCGAATAGTTTGTAGTAGATTTCGGCCGAATTTTCGCTTAGCATACCCCGAGCCAAGGTTCAGTGATGGGGCATTAAAATCTCCAGCTATGGTGATTTGGTCATAGCTCAAGTCTCGTATCCCTGTGATGGTGCTGGGCAGTAGCTAATTGGGCTCTTCCCCACAGGTGAAAGATTGGTAGATGCCACCCAGTAAATGCTTGATGTGGCCTACGGTGAAATGACACCTTATGGAGTCTGGGAGTTCAATAAGCGGTGGATCCGTTGCGCGTGCACATTTAAGTTGCCTGTCAAAGTATATAACAACTCCCCCTCCTTCCTTATTATCCCTGTTTCTCCTGACCAGAACCATATCACCTAGACGGATTTCGTTGTCGGCGATAGTGGGGGTTAGCCAGGCTTCAGTGAGAATGATTATTTTAAGTTGCAGGTGTGATTGGAGATTCCATTATGGGTAAATTTTGTTTTGATAAAGTCTCACAGTGTTATACAGTAATGTTTACTGATGACGTTTCGAGCACAATTTATTGCCACTCATAATCATATCAAGGTAATCACACGACTTCCTAAATTCATTTATATAGTTCCATTGTTTTTCTCTTGATTTTCACTTGATTTGATTGGTAATAGTATTTTCCATATTTCAGGTATGAGTGACGAGTCATTCCTATTGCATGTATTGGGTGTAGACTCGATGAACAAGGATTCAGTAATCAACCTCTCTCTCCACCTACCTAGATTACTTTTTAGAATTTTAACCCTCTCCCACCCTATTGTGTGGTTGTGTGTTAGCGCATGCATTGCAATTGCTGAGCTTTTTTCTAAATTACTTATCTTCTCGGGGTCAACCATTCTTACCTTAGCTAAATTTTTATGCTCTGACAATCTGACTACCCCTGACCTACTAGTTTGACTTATGTAGTTGACCTCACAGTCATTGCACGGTATTTTGTAAATAATATTATTTTGTTTAATTGGGTCAACTGGGTCCTTTAACCTACAGAGCTTGTCCCTGAATGAGTTTGTAGGTTTAAATGCCACCCTAATTCCTATTTTATTCAGAATCCTACGTAGTGTTTCAAATGTCCCCTCTTTATGTGGTATAACTGTGGATGACTTATATTCTTTCTTATTTATGTTATTATTACT